TATTCAAATTGAAGTGCGAGAGTATATTCAAATTGAAGTGCGAAAGTGTAATTTCCGGCCACCTAGAGATGCCCTAATCATAAATTTTCTTACCTCAGCCCCAACCATGGTGGGGCTGAGGTGAGTGGTTCCTCGGTCTGGTAAAGTTCCTCTCTGGTTCACCTCCCGTTCGAATTCCTGGATCTGCCAATGTTGATTTATTACTGTATAATTATTTTTCGCGCGTATTTATAATGCGTCTATTGCAATTTCACTTTATCCTCTCAAACAGTCCTAAAAACGTTCAGAGTGCGCTACTTCACAAGGGAATTCGCCCCCTAGACCCCGCCAGGGTCATACGTAATTCGCATAACGGCTTCTCCCCTTTCAAAATCCTGGCTACGTCCCTGAATAAGGTTAAGACCTACCGAAAGCAAACCTATCACATGGGATTTAATTTAATTTAAACACTTTTAAGTGTTTAAAATATAATTCAAGTGATAGTACATTCTCTCTCAGCATAAAAATTATTGTATTAACGTCTCAGGCTAATTGTCGAATGTTGCTCCTTCGTTACGCCACTGATACTTTGTAGTTTTGCATTTACACATTTCACACCGCCCGAAATGGGAACCACCCTACGCCTGCGTCCCTGAATTAACCTGTCAATTAGCGTGAAAAGGTTTGTGTCTGTTGGTGAAAACGATCAAAATAAACCCAGCATAAGGTAAGGGTGGGGAATTGTGGACAGTATCCAATTGGAGACCACCTCAATAAATCGATTCTGCAGACCTGTCGCCAGCAGAGAAGTTTATATAGCTCCATCTATTGCCTTCCTTGTTCTCCCGCGTTGTTATGAATGCAGCCATTCCAGTGATGAACACATTTTCTCCCTGAATTTAGAGAAAATATACACAGGTAGGCCCTATGTTTATTTGTTAATGCATTTTTTGGCTGATGTAAAAACTGAATTTCTAAAGAACAGTATTTTTTAAGAAAATACTATGATTATGGTAAATTATTGTTGTATTGTTTACATTACCATTGTGAGATGTGTATAAGAGACAGAATAAGATCTGTATGGTTGTCAAAAATCGCTGATAAAA